CATTTTGCCTATATCCTACACTGAGCACACTCCAGATCTCAGCACTGCCTGCAGGAGTGTCAGCCCATCTCCTAAACCCACCGCCCCCCCCTTCTTGGCTCAGGGCCAGCTGCTTCAGTGTCCTTGCGGCCGCTCACATGTGCTGGCCCAGGACCTTTACACTTCCTGTTCCAGTAGACCCCTTCCTGCTAGGTCAGATGCCCTCTCCTCAGCTGACCTCTCCCCAGAACCTGATGGTTTTCTCACCGGGTCACAGCAGGCAGGTCTCACCCGTGTGGTAATTTCCTTGTTGTCAATCTGCCTTTGGCAGCTCCCCCAGTGAGTTAGCTGCTCAAGAGGTTGTGAGGGAAACTGAGGACGGTGCTTTCCTGGCAGAGGGGATGGCAAATGCAAGGGCCCTTCCTAGTTAGCCTGCGTTGGAGACTGGCTCGCACCACACACAGCTGCTGGACCAGAGTCATCAGCAATGCTATGCCTCTTGAGCCTCAGTACCTGCCCTAACATGGTCTGAGAACTGACCAGTCTTTTCTGGAAAACATGGGGTCATGGGAGAGGGCAGTGAGGCTGTGCCCTAGGAGGCAGACAGTCATCTGAGGAGGTCAGGTGTGGTTGTAGTGTTCACTTTGGTCATCAGTGTAGTAATCTCTATGGTGTATGGTGTCAGCTGTAATGTTCACTTTGATAGTAAGTCATAGTAGTCATTGTGGTGGTCAGTTACAGTGTTTTTCACCGTGAAAGTCAGCCATAGCCGTTGCTGGGCTGGTCATTAAGGCGGTCAGTTGCAGTGACCACTACGATGGTCAGTCATAGTGGTCACCATGGTGGGCAGTTTTCGTGTTCATTGTAATGGTCAGCTGTGGTGGTCATTTTGATGGTCAGCTGTGATGGCCAGCTGTGCTGGTTGTTGTGATGAACAGCAGTGGCCAGATGTTGTGTTCACTGTGTTAGCAATTGGAGTGGTCACCCTGGTAACCAGTTGCAGTGATCAGGTATAGTATGTGATTTCAATGATAATGGCCGCTATAGGCTCATATGTTTGGATGCTTGCTCTCCGGTTGATAGGACTCAGAGGTGTGGTCTCGCTAGGGAAGAAGGTTCACTGGGGATGGGCTCTGAGGTTTCAAATGTCCACTTCAGGCCCAGCGTCTCTCTTTCTCTCTGCCTCATGCCTGCAGGTCAGATGTGAGCTCTCAGCTACAGCCCTGGTGCCATACCTGCCTGCCTTCATGCGCCCTGCCGTGATGATCAGAGACTCGCCCTCTGAAACTGTACGTGAGCTACCCATTAAACGCCTTTTCCTATCAGCTGCTTTGGTTGTGATGTTGTATGACAGCAACCGTAAAGTAACTGAGACAGTAGATAAAAGGATGATATAATGACAGGCAGGCAATGGATGGACAGGTGGATAGATTCTGGATAGATGGACAGGCAGGTAGATAGGCAGATGGATAAACAGACGAGCAGAACAACCAGTTTTCCTTTTCTGTTTTAGACAGGGTCTCACTATGTAGCCCTGAAACTATGTAGGCCAGACTGGCCTGGAACTCAGAGATCCACCTACCTCAGCCTCCCAAGTGCTGCTGGGGTTAAAGGAGCACAACCACACCAGCCGCCAGTGCTTCTGGAGCACTTCTGAGTTGGTGTTCCTATTGCCTCACTTAATTTTAATAGATGGTGGCAATGATGTTCATTTTGCAAATGGAGAAACTGAGACTCAGAGAGGAAAAAAACCTGACTCCCTGTCCCCAAATCAGGAGGTAGTAGAGCCAGGATTAAATCCAAGGTGACTAGTAATTTAATTAGTCATTTAAGATAATGACTAATAAGACTTCTTTACTGCCACACAGGGAGAAGCAAGAACAGGCAGTTTGGAGTCTGGGTTTCTGCTTCTGTGATGAAACACCATGACCAAAAGCAAGTTGGGGAGGAAAGGGTTTATTTGACTTACCATTGAGGGAAGTCAGGACAAGAACTCAAACAGGGCAGGATCCTGGAGACAGGAGCTGATGCAGAGGCCATAGAGGATGCTGCTTACTGGCTTGTACCCCATGGCTTGCTCAGCCTGCTTTCTTATAGACCAGCAGCCTAGGACAGAACCACCCACAATGGGCTGGGCCTTCGCTCACCAATCACTAATTAAGAAACTTCCCTACATCTGGATCTTATGGAGGCATTTTCTCATTTGAGGTTCTTCCTTTCACATAACTGCAGCTTGTGGCAAGCTGACATTAAAACTAGCCAGCACAACTGACCCCTTGTCAGCTTGGCCCACAAACGCATTACTGTTAGGCCATAAACTTTCCATTCTTGTTCTTCCCCAAGATCACACACTAACATCAACATAAACATTCCAAATTTTAAAAGTCCCACAGTTTTAAAAAACTCGGTCTCTTAAAAATAGCCAGTCTCTCTTAAAATCCAAAGCCATTTAAAATTCAAAGGCTCTCAATTGTGGGCTCTTGTAAAATAAAAAATAAATTAAATACTTTTTCACATCAAGAGAGTAGAACCAGGGCACGGTCACAATCTGAACCAAGCAAAACCAAACTCCAACAGCATAAATTCCTCAATGCCCAATGTCTGGGATTCACTCACACTCTCCCGAGCTTCTCCACCTAGATCTTTTTTTACATTTTTAATTTATTTTTACCTGGGCACACACATTCCCACACATTTGTCTTTATGTGTATCACATGCAAGCTCAGGTCCAAGGAGGTCAGAAGAGGACGTCAGATCCCCTGGAACTGGGATTACAGACTGCTATGAACCCCCAGCCTGTGGGGTCTGGGAATCGAATCCAGGTCCTCTTGATCAGCAGTCAGTGTTCTTAAGCCCTAAGACAATCCTCCGGCCCCAAAACTAGAATTTTAAATGGCAATACACCCTTTTAAGACCACCCTTTTAAAACTCCAACCAATCATGCTAAAGGAGAAAGTAAAATGACCCTGTTCCTCTCAATATAAAACAGGTACCTTTAGATGTGTCACTTAAATCTGTGATCAAGTGGACAAAAAATATAGTAGGAGAAAACTATGATGGGTGGAATTTGGACCATTCAATAAAATAATATCGTTTTCTAGATTTGCTGGTGTTCCCACTGTCAATCTCTTCCAATCCCTATTTTTTGTGATTTCTTTTATTACTCTAATTATTAAGTGTGCCATAGGCACATCTTTCTGAGTTGAGAAATAGCCTCCAAAATCCCAGAAATGCAGATTTCAAAAAGAAAGTGCCTAATCTGGAGATGAGTCTACTTAAACTATTTACTCAAAGTGACATGTGGCGTAGCGCCCCCTGGTGGCGAACCACACAAAACCCCAGGTGACCAGAGACTTAAACCCTGAGACCTTTGGATAAGTCCCTCCATCCTCTGTGACACAGGTAACTTGCACTCACTACTCTAGACTGCTAAAATAGTCACCAGACATGCGGTGAAACAGGTCTTCAAAACCGTCAGGTACCAATTGCTGGAGTCCACAGCTGTACCCAGGGACTAGCACATGATGGAAAGTTCTAGAACTCCTGTACTGACAGTTTCCATGGAGAGCCACAGTGGTCAGTCAGGTAATAAATTCCCAGTGGTGACTATGAATGGTGGATATGCCCAGACTCTCCTCAGTTGCTGGGATTCCACACATCAGCCATCCCTCCCTCCCTCCCTCCCTCCCTCCCTCCCTTCCTTCTGTCTTTCCTTTTTTTTCTGAGACAGTGGTTCTCCATATCTTCTCCCAGTTTCCTCCTGGAGACAGTTATGTGATAAACCAGATGGCAAGGAAATATTCTTCCAGCTTGGAACCTTCCAGAAGGTTCATCCAAGGAGCAGCTTCCGGCATTGCCTTCTTCCTCACCCACAGCCTGAGATGGTGGATGTCAGGGAACTGAGGACGGCCAGTGCCCGCACTCACTAAGCCTTTCCCTGCTGCAGTCCCCTGCCTGTTGATACCTCCTTGTGGAATATCTAATCAGATTCATAGACCCATCTTTTCAAAGACTTTTTCCTGGTCAGCCTCACCAAGTGTTTCTACACTTACACATCCACGTGCATGTACACATATGCACACATGTGCACAAGCATGTGCGCGCGCACACACACACACACACACACACACACACACACACACACCACTGGTGTTCAGGACTGCAGTGGGCCTTGCAGGCTCAGGCCCCAAACAGCCTCAGATTTTGGAGCAGAACCACAGACAGCAATGTTGGTGCTAGAGTAGGGAGAAGGTTTGTTTTTCCTGACCTTACTACTGGGGTGGATGTGTAAGGAGTGGCATCTTTGATGTTCAGTCACCCAGTCCCTTCTAGTTTGGACTAATTATTCCTGACGAGGAGTTATTCTAAACAGTGCCAGCCGGTTTAGTTTGCTCACTGATCTCGTCCCTCCTACCGTGCTGAGCTGACCTAGAACACTCACCCAGACTGCCCCTGGACATGACCATGAGCTCTGCAGCACCAAGAAGGTGTGCCTAGGATAGTGCCAAATCTACTGTGTGGGAGGGCCGGTAGCTGCTCTTGGTCTTCCCTGACCAAGGCAGACACGGGCATCATCATCTGCCTGCTGAATTTCATTATGTATTCATGGAGTCTGACTCCGAGGTTCTTCACCATCCATAGCCAGGCAGGATCTTCACAGTGGGAACAGAGCTCCACCCAGATAGAAAAGGGGCCAGGCTCCAACCAATGGCACCCAAGGAGTCCCTGCAGAAGCTGCAGAGCTGTATCCGAGGAGGATACAGGTCACCGGACAGACCTGCACCTGAGACCCAGTCAACACAAAACAATCTCATAGTAAGTGAGGAATGAGCAGTCAGGAGGAAGGAGGAAACAGAGCCACAGCCAGGGAAGGACACAACAACAGGGAAGTGACCATGTGCAGCCTCACAGACACCCCTAGGCAGGGATATAAAGGCCCCAGACCCAGGAGGCTCCACACCTGCACATTCCCTCTACATCTCTCCTCTGACCTACTCCATCCTCAACCCAACACCAGAACCATGAGCTGCTGTGGCTGTTCCGGAGGCTGTGGCTCCAGCTGTGGGGGCTGTGGCTCCAGCTGCTGCAAGCCTGTGTGCTGCTGCAAGCCTGTGTGCTGCTGTGTGCCTGCCTGTTCCTGCTCCAGCTGTGGAGGCTGCAAGGGAGGCTGTGGTTCCTGTGGGGGCTGCAAGGGAGGCTGTGGCTCCTGTGGGGGCTGCAAGGGAGGCTGTGGCTCCTGTGGGGGCTGCAAGGGAGGCTGTGGCTCCTGTGGAGGCTGCAAGGGAGGCTGTGGCTCCTGTGGAGGCTGCAAGGGAGGCTGTGGCTCCTGTGGGGGCTGCAAGGGAGGCTGTGGCTCCTGTGGCTCCTGTGGTTCCTGTGGAGGCTGTGGCTCCTGTGGGGGCTGCAAGGGAGGCTGTGGTTCCTGTGGAGGCTGCAAGGGAGGCTGTGGCTCCTGTGGCTCCTGTGGAGGCTGCAAGGGAGGCTGTGGCTCCTGTGGGGGCTGTGGCTCCTGTGGGGGCTGCAAGTCCAGCTGCTGTCAGTCCAGCTGCTGCAAGCCCTGCTGCTGTCAATCTAGCTGCTGCAAGCCCTGCTGCTGTCAGTCCAGCTGCTGCAAGCCCTGCTGCTCTTCAGGCTGTGGGTCCTCCTGCTGCCAGTCCAGTTGTTGCAAGCCCTGCTGCTGTCAGTCCAGCTGCTGCAAGCCCTGCTGCTCTTCAGGCTGTGGGTCATCTTGCTGTCAGTCCAGCTGCTGCAAGCCCTGCTGCTCTTCAGGCTGTGGATCTTCCTGCTGTCAATCCAGCTGCTGCAAGCCCTGCTGCTGTGTCCCTGTGTGCTGTCAGTGCAAGATCTGATGTACTGGTCACAGGCTTCATTTGGTTTCCCTCAACCACAACTAGGGAGGCTTCAGGCTTCATTGTTCCATGACCACTTCATGATCCTGTGGTCCTCTGACCTTCTCTTCCGCAGGACCACAAGCCACCCATCTGTTTCATTCCCCTGGAGGAAGTACACATTCCAACCCTTGGTCATATCCCTGCTCTATGCTAGTCTCTACTTCTGCTCTGGTCTACCTCTTCAACATTTCTTACGGACATAACTACATTCCTGTGATCTGCACAAAAATATCAGGGAGAACAAGCCCCTGCCCTCACCCAGACCTACTCTTTCTGCGTCTCTGACTGCCAGCTCTGCCCTGTTGGACTTCCTTCCTGGGGCAGTGAGGGAGGTTCCCATCCTTGCTTGTTAAAATCGAATTAAATCCCAATTTAATAAAAAGCTCTTTGTTCACTACAGACAGTTCTGACCATGGCATGTGTTCTAGTTTCTTTTCTGTTACTGCGATAAACACTCTGACCAAAAGGAACGTAGGGAAGGATTGGTTTGGCTTACACTTCCAGGTCACAGACCATCATTAAAGGAAGTGCAGGAACTCAAGCAGGAGCTTGAAGCAGAAACCATGGAGGAAGGCTGCTTGTTGACTTGCTCTTGGGACCATGCTCACTACCTTCCCTAGACAGGCCAGGACAGCCTGCCTAAGGAATGGTGCTGCCTACAATGACATGGCCCCTCCTACATCAATTAATAATCAGGACAATTCCCCACAGAAATGCCCTCAGGCCAATCTCATCTGGGCAACCCTTCAACTGAGACTCCCTTCTCAGGGGACTTTAGGATATCAGGCTGACAGTTGAAGATGACCATGACAGTGTGTTTTTTCTCAGTCCCTTTTGTTTCTAACACAGCATATTTCAGTGTTTGATTCACTCTAGGAAGTCTACACCCAGTCAACAGGTGCACAACACACACCACCCACATGTGTCCTCAGCCCAGAGACATCCAAATGTCCTCATATGGTCTTAGTAGGTAATCAAGGTAACATTTTGGAAGGGGGCGCTGGAACTGCAATGCTGGCATTGACTCAGGGCCCTGAGATTTAAATCATGGTTGCCTTGATCCAGCAGATAGACCTGAGGCTTCTGTATTCTGTGGTGTATATTGTTTATGATTTAATAAAGCCACTGGAGACCAAAATGCAAAGCTAGCCTCAGCCATAGAGCCAGGCAATGGTGATACACAACTTTAATTCCACTAGCCACACCAGTTAGTTATAGAAGCTGGGCAGTCGTGGCACACACCTTTAATCCCAAGACTTAGGAGACAAAGGCAGATGGCTTTCTGTGAGTTCAAGGCCACCAGGGTTAATTAGAGTGAATCAGTCTAAAACGGAAACAGCTGACACAAAGGAGACATCAGCACTTGGGATCCCATGCCTTTAATCCCAGCTCTAAAGAGGTATATAAAATAGGAGCAGGGTATTCGGTATTCAATCTCAGAGATTAATTCCCCAGCCACGCTGAGGACTGGACAGCCCTTTCAGCCTGACATAGAGATAAGACCTAGTGGCTGGCTGCTGTGCTTCTCTGATCTTCAGTCTGAACCCCAATATCTGTCTCTTGGTCTTTTATTATTCATGTTACAAATATATACTGTTTATGATCTAATAAAGTCACTGGGTTTTTATTAATTAAGCCACAGTGTTCTCTCACTGGTTTCAGTTTCTACAACTATACAACAGTGAGGTAGCAGGGTGAAATCAGAGTCCCTGCATCTTTATATAGCCTCTGTGCTGCAGGAAGAGCCCAGGGGATTCCTTCACAGACCACTACCATGTAGATTTACTTCCTGGGGCTGACAGGCACTTAGGACTGCCACGGTTCAGGCTCCTTGTCTCATCCAGGGCCCCATAAAGTTGTAGGTGAGTGAAGAAGATCACCAGGACACATAGCAGTGACTCTTATGTTTAGATAGAATCTAAGATGCCTACCAAATCTCCTCACCTCTTCCAGATAATCAAAATCTAATCCGGATGCTATCATGAAGGATGCCTACATTTAAGGTCTTGTATTGGTCTGTTCCACGTTACTAGCACAAAACAATGGCGGCAGGCTAGCTTCACCAAAAAGCGTTGACACATACTTTGGTTGCATAACATGGAGAAATCAATCTAGGACTCAGCTGGAACTTTCCTCCTTGCTGGCTAGTCCCCATAGTGCTAAGATGGTGCTATGTAGGTTATGAGGAGAGAATTGTCACCAATGGTTTTACCCTGCTTTGAGCTTTATGTGCAACACTACCAACCTGCCAGCAAAGATGTATCTACTGGTGCAGTAGTTGCGTGACTCTTTAAAGGCAACCAACAGCCTCCCTATTGGATTTAAGATCCACTACACAAGAAGATACTCAAATCTGGCACTGTTAACCTGGTCAAAAGTTCATGGTCAGGGAGCTCAATAGAGCTTCATAGAGAAGCTACATGAACATAATGTATCTATCAAATTGTCTTCTGAATATGTTTATGCCCATAGATTAACACTGCAGTTAATCTTTGTCAGAGAAGCTTCTTTTTGCAGAGACTCATAATTGATCAAAATTCTGGGGATAAGTGACTGTTGAATGCTCAACCCTCAATGGGACATTTAGAACATCTTCTCAAAGGCTTAGAGGACAGTGAAGAAGAGGATACAGAAAGAATGCGCAATGGGGAGGAAGGAGAAAGTGGTGTGGCATGCTGCCTCCACGCATGATATGGCCATTGCACTTTAGAAACCTCAGCAGCTGTGGTTGACTATATGAGACCTGCACGTAATTGGGTCTGTCACCTCTCTGTCGCTGTCACAGGGAGAACAGCTTACAAAACCCCATCCCTCCTTGAGTACATACAGGCAGTTAATGGTTGCTTGGAGAAGTAAAGATGTTTTCTTCAATTGTGTAGCTCCCAGTAAGGTTTCTATGCTCATGTTAATAACCCATTCTCCTATAAGCAAGCCTAACTAAACTCATTGGGTCGCCCCCCAAAAAAGCATTAAAGTATAAGGGTAGATTATCAGAAGTGTGAGGGGTACAGGACTGTAAATCAAGGGAAAGAGACTTTATCAAAAAATGATGTTGATTGTGAACATAGAAGATTAGGTGAAATCTGCAAAATTATACTAGAATTAATAAATGAATTTAAGATCAATTTCCATAAACCAATATTAGAAGCAAGAAAATGTGGTTTTATCCTTACAACACTAGTGTGAAAAGTACATGAATAAATTTAACAAGATCTTCCAGGAGGGCGGTGGTGGCGCATGCCTTTAATCCCAGCACTCGGGAGGCAGAGGCAGGCGGATCTCTGTGAGTTCGAGGCCAGCCTGGTCTACAGAGCGAGGTCCAGGACAGCCTCCAAAGCCACAGACAAACCCTGTCTCGAAAACCCAAAAAAAAATCTTCCATTTATTTGTGCAACAAATACTACAAAACAACACCAAAGTCAATGCAAATGAAAGAAGATATAGCCTATGACCGTGGATCAGTATATACAATACTGTGAATTCTCTCCAAATTTATCTATAAATTTGGTGCCATTCCAATTAAAGGCCAAGCAAATGTTTTTGTAAAATTTGTTAAAGTGATGCAGCCACTCTAGAAAGAAAAGAAGGCATTCCAACAAAAGAAACTAGATATTGATTACCCCTGTGGAAAATAATTCAGAAAAAAATCTTTTGAAGAAAACTTGGGAGAAAATTCTTACAGCTTGGAGGTAGCCTAAGGTTTCTTATATAAGATATAAAAAGACCAAACTGAGGGGCTGGAGAGATGGCTCAGCAACTAAGAGCACCAGGTGCTCTTCCAAGAGACCTGGGTTCAATTGCCAGCACCCACCTAGTTGCTGAAACTTTAGTTCAAGGGAATCTAGTGCCTTCTTCTGGCCTCTGAGGACACTGTACACATGTGGTGCATAGACACATATTCAGACAAAACACCTATATACATGAAATAATAAAATGTATTTTTTTTGTTTTACGAGACAGGGTTTCTCTGTATTGTTTTGGAGGCTGTCGATCCAGCCCGGCCTCGAACTCACAGAGATCTGTCTGCCTCTGCCTCCCAAGTGCTGGGATTAAAGGCGTGCACCACCACTTCCTGGCCTATAAAATGTATTTTTTAAAAAAGACTGAGCCATAAAAACAGATAAATTATTTCTATGCTAGTCTGCTTTCTGCTGCTATGACAAACACCATGACCAGAAGCAACCTGGGGAGGAAAGGGTTCATTCATCTTACAGCTTGTAGTCCATCATGAAGGTACACTAGGGTAGGAACTCAGGGCAGGGACCTGGAGGTCGGAGCTGAAGCAGAAGCCACAGAAGAATGCTGCTTACTGGCTTGCTCCCCGTGGCTTGCTCAGCCTACTTTCTTATGAAAGCCAGGACCAAAGCCCAGGGATGGCACCAGCCACAACAGGATGGGTCTTCCCACAACAATTACCAAGAAAGAAAATACTCCAAAGACACAGCCACACACAAGTCTGACAGAGTCAATTCTTCAGCTGAAGGTCCCTTTTCCCAGGTGTGTCGAGTTCACAGCTAAAGCTAATGATAATATTATCCTTTTTTTAAAAAAGTATTCATAAATATATGAAAAGATATCATTGCTATCAGGAAATTTAAAGCTATGAGACCCCACTGATAACTGTTAGAATCTGTTAGAATTAGGAAGTTAAGAAAAATGACAATGGCAAATACTGACAAGAATGTGGGTCCACTGAAGCTCCACTCTCTTGCTGCTATAGGGGTACAGCCTATTGGAACACTAAAATTACTCTGACAATTCCATTACATTTATATTTACTAGAGAAATGAGAGGAGAGTATATATCTACAAAGCAAATGTATATAGTAGTTTTATTAATTTTTAAAAAAGTGGAAACAACCTAAATGTCAGTCAAGAGGTGAATGAAGAAACGCAGTCTACAGTGGAATATTATTCAGCAGTACAAAGAAAGAGATGACACATATCAGCACAGATTCATCTCAGATGGGGTCTACTGAAGAATGGATCTGGCATGAACGAACAAAGACATTGCGTGAGAGTCACTCAAGGTTAAGAGTTCTGTTACAATGGAAGAAAATGGACAGAGCCAAGGATCGTGAGCGACGGTGATGAGAGAGGCACTGGCAGACTGCCCTGATATCAGCAGTGCACACCCAATGATGGTTCACAGACACAATTGTCAGAGTCATAGACTGTGCATGTCAAATGGAACAAATATCATAAATTGCACATCGGAGCCAGTGACAGACAGAGATGGAGATGAAAGATACACACATATGAGATAGATGATTGATAGATAGATAGATAGATAGATGATAGAGAGAGAGAGAGAGAGAGAGAGAGAGAGAGAGAGAGAGAGAGAGAGAGAGAGAAACGGGTAATGATATATAGATGAAGTAGATAGATAGACAGACGATAGTCACTCCACGTTATTAGATGTTCATTACAGCAACATTCCATTTCCAAATGTCCAACTCTGTTATTACTATCTGATAACTACAGAACTATTGTACAGCTTGTCTCAGAAACATACCAATAACAGTTCTAGGGTTCATCTCGGTGTCACAGGATGATGGGGGTTGTTAGTGGCCCCTCTGGAATCTCGGAAGGAAAGTCTATCTATTCCTCGCCTCTTTCATTTCCTCAGAGCTGCCACTGATCCCTGGCATAGGATCCCATCACTTGGGTCTTCAAGTCTCTCTACTTTATCTACACAGCTTTGTCTTCCATTGGCCTCAGATCTCTTTCTACTAAGAATGCATCTGAGTGAGTGCATGTGGGTCCATCCAGATAACCCATGATCACCCTCAGTGAAATATGCTCAGTTCACACAGATCTATAAAGCCTCTAATTCCAAACAAGGTAACTTTTAGAGGTGCCATGATAGGGGTATTAATGATTCTAAGAAGTGAACCTAGGAAGAAAAATCCAAATAGAACTGGTATAGAAGAACCTGGATATGATACTATCATCCCCTAGTCACATGAAGTCAGCAAACAGCAGGTGACCATCTTACAGAAGCATCTAGGAAGCAGACACCGAAGTTAATGTGAACAAGGAAAAGATCAAATTTGGAAACCTAAGAAAAATCACTAGTGCATACAGTCAGCAGAAAGCCAGGGAAATGAGCACAACAAACAAAACCCCAACATCAAGGAAATAGCCTGAAGGCACAAGGAAATTATCAGGATTCCAGCAACACTTGGACAGGGATATAAAGGCCCCAGACCTAGGAGGCTTCACACCTACACACCTCCCTCTACACCTGCTCCTCTGACCTACTCCATCCTCAACCCAACACCAGAACCATGAGCTGCTGTGGCTGTTCCGGAGGCTGTGGCTCCAGCTGTGGGGGCTGTGGCTCCAGCTGCTGCAAGCCTGTGTGCTGCTGCAAGCCTGTGTGCTGCTGCGTGCCTGCCTGTTCCTGCTCCAGCTGTGGAGGCTGCAAGGGAGGCTGTGGCTCCTGTGGAGGCTGCAAGGGAGGCTGTGGTTCCTGTGGGGGTTGCAAGGGAGGCTGTGGTTCCTGCGGAGGCTGTAGCTCCTGTGGAGGCTGCAAGGGAGGCTGTGGCTCCTGTGGGGGGTGCAAGGGAGGCTGTGGTTCCTGTGGAGGCTGCAAGGGAGGCTGTGGTTCCTGTGGAGGCTGCAAGGGAGGCTGTGGTTCCTGTGGGGGGTGCAAGGGAGGCTGTGGCTCCTGTGGAGGCTGTGGCTCCTGTGGGGGCTGTGGCTCCTGTGGAGGCTGTGGCTCCTGTGGGGGCTGTGGTTCCTGTGGGGGCTGCAAGCCCTGCTGCTGTCAGTCCAGCTGCTGCAAGCCCTGCTGCTGTCAGTCCAGCTGCTGCAAGCCCTGTTGCTGTCAGTCCAGCTGCTGCAAGCCCTGCTGCTGTCAGTCCAGCTGTTGCAAGCCCTGCTGCTGTCAGTCCAGCTGCTGCAAGCCCTGTTGCTGTCAGTCCAGCTGCTGCAAGCCCTGCTGCTGTCAGTCCAGCTGCTGCAAGCCCTGCTGCTGTCAGTCCAGCTGTTGTGCCCCTGTGTGCTGCCAATGCAAGATCTGAGATATCAGGCCATCTGGCTGTCAGCTGAGATAGGGTAGGGTAGAGTTGGCTATTCTCATTGTTCACAGAACACTCCCTCAGATAACATCCTCTCCCTCTGAGATTCTCTTCATCATGGATATGGCTTTCTGTACTCCTCAGCCACAGCTCTGTAGGAAGATAGTGGCCTTGGGACCTTCTGTCTCTTTTGGTCGCAGTCCACTCCTCCCAGGAGATGGATACTAAAGATCTGCAGCACCTTGTGAAGGACACCAGTATGTGGTTTCTCAGCAGATAAAAGCAACACACTGGCAATATCAGACCACTTCTTCCTGCCAGCACAGTCCACAGCAGCACTCCCTTCACACCATTTTTATCCCTGTCTCAGAACACAGTAATATTTTCCTTCAATAAAATAATCTCTGTTACTGCAAAATAATTCTCTTTCCAGTGCCATCCTTCCATTTCCTTCTCTGTTTGTGTACTAAGGAATGACAAGTTCCTGGTCAGTGGGCTCCTGGGAGACAGCAGAAGGTCTCTGTGGAAGTGGAAAGGGTGGTTGGTCACCAGGAGGAAGCAGTGTTTGCTCAGCCTTTGAACCAGTGAGGTGGCTCTTCCCAAACAGGTAGGGACCACCTGTACCTCAGATGATTTCCAGTGTTCTCCTGACAGGACTCCTTTGGGCACCATAGCACTGGGTTGCAGGTCATGACACTCCTTCACTTTGCAGAGGAGATACACGGGGTGGACATTATTCACCCCAACTCTAAGTCTGAGACCTACTATGGAAGGTGTGTCTGGAGTCTCTGATCACCCCAATCCTCTACTTGAACCATCTAGACCCTGGAGAACACAGTCCTCAATGATTCCTGGTGCCTCTTCTTCTGGAAGCACCCAGTCAGGAAATAGACAACTGCACCAGTAAGCTGTGCTGACCGTACTGGACAGGCGGCACAGGAGATCAAAGGCCAGGCTCAGGTTCCCTTCTGGAACGTATAGGATAAGAAACAGGAACAGGCACCAGAGGAGGAAAATGACGGCCACAACACAGACATTGTGGTAGATTCTGGCCAGTTTGTACCACCAGGGTTGGCACAGGCCATGGAGGGTCTGGATCACACTGAACACACACATTGCAGGTCAACATTTGAAATATCATAAATCCTGTGTAAAATGGGTTGCAGTCTAGGCCCTCCACGCAGTGGGCACAGACCTCAAGGCCTGCATGCAGAGAAAGTTCCTGGACCCAGCTCAGAGCATTGACCACCACAGACGTTCTCACGGGCCAACAAGTGGAAATGAGGACACATAAGGAGTTCTCCACACTCTTGGCTGCCAGGAGACACCCACTATGTAAGAGAAAGAAGAGATTGACTTCAGGATCACAGCAACATGCCACACCACCTCATGATGGTGTCTAACCATGTCCCCCAGCAAGTCCCCGATGGTGCAGGTGAGACTGAGGATGTCAGCAATGGCCAGGCAGAGGACATAGGCCAAATAAAAACAGAGGGGCCAGCAGACTACACAGTTGCCTGCTGCCCCCAAAGAGGGCCACCACCACCGTGAGGGACAAGGCCACCTGGTCAGACTGCAACCACTTCAATATCCAGTATTCTTGGAAACAATGGGGTCAGCATGTCAAAAACTATGATGGGACTGGCTGGAAAAGGTGGAATAGGATCTCACATTGCACCCTAGGACACTGGGAAGGTACATCAAGAACTGAGGGACATATAAATGGAACAGTCTCAGGAAGGAGGGGTGATGTCCTCTCTATCAAGGCAACAGGTAGCCTTGATCACGTGTAGGTTCTCAGTCGGTCAGTTCATACCTAAGCTCACAACAGAGTCTCACAACAGGGCAGTACTGTTAGGTGGCATTTCTGTCCCCACACAAACCCCACCACTGGAAATGCCCCTTCCCAGGTGTGCTAGGACCTGACTCTCCAAGCAGACACAGCTGAGACTGGGGCGGCCCTGATGGAGTGTTCACTTAAACAGAGGCCACTTAAACAGCAGGTAACCTCATCAGGACTGGGAGCTGTATTGGATCAGATGTGAGCCTCCAAACCCCCTTTCTGTCCTCTTATAATTTCCCTTTTTCTTTTCTGAAGCAAGGGTCCATGTAACCCAGGCTGGCCCTGAGCTCACTATGTAGCTGAGGATGACCCAGAACTCTTGATCCTCTTTTCTCCACCTCCCATGCTAGGATTTCAGGTGTGTACCCCATACTTGTTCTATGCAGCGACTGGTTTGAATCCTGTGCTTCATACAGGTAAGCAAGCATTCTATCAACTGGGCTTTAATCTCCCTTCATCCTTATTCGGGTAGAAATACTCATGATGTGATGGGAACAGCTCTGCCATGTTCAGCACATCTCGTATATTTTGCAGTCAACCCCTGGCCCAACTCCTAGCCTTTCTGTCACTCTAAACTCTTATCTTCACCAGCAGCCTCTCCCACTCTCCTGCTTCTGGCTCTTGGCATCCACCATTCTGCTTCCTGTCTCTGGGCTTCCCCTACTCCAGACAGGCTATGTAAGTGGAGCCACAGGTTATGACCTTCTATGCCTGGCTGCTCCCACTGGGCAACATGTGGTGGTTTTATTTTTTTTATAAGGAGGGGGGTGTTCTGTTTTGAGATTTAAGACAAAGATTGGCTATGTACCTAAGCTGGCCTTGAATTTGCAATCATCCTGCCTTGGCCTCCTGAGTGCTGGACTTACGAGTGATGCTTGGTCTGTTTTCAAGCTCATGACCTTATTCTTTGTGGGGAACCTCTCCACAGAGATCAGAGGAAAGGGTTCCCAATCTGATTCAGTTGCTAGGTTAAAAACTGACTCAGCTAGACATGGTAGTACGTGCCTTTAATCCTAGTACTCTGGAGGCACAAGCAGGAGGATCTCCGAGTTCAAGACCAGCCTGGTCTACATAGGGAATTTCTAAGACAACCAGGACTACATAAAGAGACCCTCTCTCAAAAAAAAAAAAATCTGCCTAACAGTCCCTTGGCTGAATGTAGTTCTATCGAGTATACCAGGTTGGCCTCAAGCTCACTTTGTAGGCATGTATAAATTTTAATTCCCAATCCTCCTGCCTCTACCTTCCCAAGTGCTTGAATTACAGGCACTACCATCTTCCTGAAGTTTTAAGCTCCAGGGAAATATATCTCAAGATCAATAAAAAGGAAATAGAGCTGAGGAGATGGCTCAGTTGGTAAAGTTCTTGTCACATATTCAGGTCCTGAGGACCTTAACTCAGACCCCCTAGAACCTAAGCAAAATGTTGGACATGGGGAGTCACAACTGTAATCCCAGCATTGGGGAGGCAGAGGCAGGATGCCCTGGACCTCACCAGTCAGTCTAGCTGAATCAGTGCTGTCTAGGTACAATGAGAAACGCTGTCTCAAACATAAGGCATACATACCTCTGGCCTCCACAGGGATATGCAGAGATGCACACATGCGCCCTCACACACATGCATCACATGCATGTCTGCACACACAGGAAAAGAAAATGAGTAGAAGCATAGCCCCTCCTATCTGGAATACCTTGGCAGTCCTGGTGCTGTGGCAGCCAGCGTGCTAAGGGGAACTCTACCCTCACATCAGGAGTGCTGTGGGTATTTCTGTCAGGGGATGGGTCCTGACAGTCTTTGGGTCTTCCTGTGCTAGAGTCACTCACGAATCAGGGTGCAGAGCCATCACTTCTCAGCATCTCATGACACGCCCCCATCTTACTCTTAATGTCTTTCTCAACATTCCCCCAAACAAAGAAGGCTCTGCAAGGGAAGTTGTAGCCTCTGGGCACATATCCACCTCCCACCGGGACATGCAGGCCAGTCTTGGCAAGATGGAAATTCTTCAAATGGGATCAAGTACTCAGGGAGTTCAGGTGTGCTGCCGGGTATAAAATGGTAGAGTGCTTGCCTGGCATGAACAAACCCTGGGTTCCATCTGCAGCACAGTATGAACAGGGCATGGTGGTGCATGTCTATAACCTGGCACTTGGGAGGTGGGGACTGGTGGTCAGAAACCCAAGGTCATCCTCAGCTGGGAGACAAACTAGGGCCCTCAAGAAAACCACTTTTGGATAAAGATGTGGATATTGCTCTCTCTCTCTCTCCTCTCTCTCTCTCTCTCTCTCTCTCTCTCTCTCTCTCTCTCTCTCTCTCTCTCTCTCTCTCTCTGGTTTTTCTTCAATACAGGGCTTCCCTGTGTAGCTCTGGAGCCTGTCCTGGAACTAGTTCTTGTAGACCTGGTTGAACTCGAACTCAGAGATCTGCCTGTCTCTGCCTCCCGAGTGCTGGGATTAAAGGCATGAGCCACCCCCGCCCAGATAAAGATGTGGATATTTCTATAAATCCACCTCATAGCATCCCACAGGGCTTACTGTGCCTAGGGGAATTCAATGGGGCAGATCGTTTGGTCTGCCCATTCTACTTAGTTTGCACAAGACCAGTGAAAGACACTGTTTTTATTCCAAGAATTTCAACCTAACAGTGAGTCAGGCGGCTAATTTACAGTAGTTAAGCCTCTATCAAAGTCAACAGAGAGGTGCATGCAGAAATCTGGCCATCAGGAAAGCACCAAGCAGGTCTCTCTCCCTGAGAACAGAAAAGACATGAGCCACTACTGGAGATGCCGTGCGCCACCTAGTGGAGGATATGGGAAGCGCATGCCTGCCCTGCAGACCCACCTACCAGGAGCAGCTGAAGTGGGTGAGGCTTTGTTGGCTTCAGCCACTTTATTGGCGGGAAATGTAAAGAAAATGCACTATCTTATCTGTCATAGACAATTGTGATGAAATGGCTTTGGAAATGTATCCATTATCTCTTGAGTATGTTCCTTGGGAAAAGCCTTTCTCCAGTATTTAAGATGAAGGAAGAAAGCAAGGGAATCTCTGGTTCCATCAGGTCTGCTTCCTGTGTCATTAATGAGGGTCTGCTCTGGAAGTCAAGAGAGCAATGAATCAGCTTGAGTGACTCTGACTTTTGATTTCAATCCCAGATGCTCTATTTCTATGACAGAGGGAATATAATCAAACTGTTACACCTCTGGGACTGAGTCTTCCCTTGATGGAGGAGCGGGCATCCAGGTTTGAAAAATCTTCCTGGAAAAGCAAATAGGAAACTGCAAAAACAAATAACAAAAACTACTTAAGAGATCTGGTATTCACAGCTCGTGGTCCAGCACACCGGGGAATCATAAATGTGCAATTCCGTGAGGACTGCTAAAGTGCAGATTTCATCTTTATTGGCTTTAAGAGGAAATTGATGGCGATACCAACAGCCTCTAATGAGAGGGACCACCCCCAGCTATGCACCTGCATCCCAGGGCTGACTCGGTTATGCTCCTGCGCCCTAAGATTGACTTGGTTGTGCACCTCTGGCCCTGGATTGGCTCAATTACACACTTACTACACCCCTTTATTGACTTGGATATGCACCTGCACCCCTGTTGCGGTAAAACACCATGACCAAGGTAGCTAATTAAACAAAGCATCCAATTAACTTTACTATTTCAGAAGAGATGGCTTCTCTCTCCCAGCTTTGCTGCCTGCAAGATACATTTCTCTCTTGGACTGGTTTCACTGCCTGTGTGCAGCTTTCCTTGGCAGAGATCCCGTGGCTCCAGCATACAGAAGATTTTGGATATTCAATGTAATCCAGAAGTGTATTCACAGTGTCATGTAATGATCTCTCAGGGCCCTCACACAGGCACTCCTCTGCCATACACCTAACCTCAGTGGCTCCTCAACTGCAGGGTTAGATTACAGTCCCTTTATTCCTATATCCTTCATCACTCAAAAGCCAAAGCCACATGGACAACTGTAGCGCGAATAATAAAAACCCAGAGACAAATGTTGGTATTCAAACTGAAGATCAGAAAAGCAAAGCATCGCCAGAGAGTTCTTACCTCTACCAAGGCTGAGG